TAAGATATTCACAAATCCTATTTTTTATATATAATTCATAGATTATTCAATAACCTCCATCCCCATAAATAATTATCAAAATCAACTATTTGTTATGTAGATACATTCCATGATTCTAATGAAAATGCCAAATCTTGTTGCCCATTGTATATTTTTTCCAACCTGCAGGTATTAATCCTTCAAATTACAATTATGGCATATCCACTTAATTACAACTTTAAATCATCCAATTTTAAAAATAAAGATCATTGAATTCTTGATGAATTAGAGTCATAAATTGATTTTCCCTATGTCTTTATAAAATTTTTATGTTATTTACAAATAAAAAGAAAAATTCAAGATTTTATTGGGTTAGTTCTTTTCTTATATGTTGTATCAAATAACCTAATTTTATTTAAAATTTATTTTCTTAGCTTTATTTCAAGAATTTATCTTTAACTAAATTATACAAATTTTAATAACTTTATAACAATTCTTCATCTTTTAATAACATTTTTTTTATTAAAAATAATAAATATATAATATTTAAGTCATTATTTTCTTAACATTTAATACCTATGCTTTTAAAAGCACAAGATAATATTTCAAACCTGTTCTTGATATATGAGATATAGATTTGAATTAAAAAATAAATATTTTAGATGACTATGTGAACTCTAGATTAAATTGAATAAATAAAAGTATAATAGAAATTTTATAATCCTATAAAGTGTTAATGATTAGTAGAAGAATAAAGTATGACTAATTGCTAAAAATCAATATTTTCATTAATCTATCAATATTTTGAATATTAAAATTATACCTTGAATTATAATACTTTTGTTGACTATTAAAATCTGAAATTAAATACTCAGTAACAGCAATTATACATAAAAAAATTGTAATTAAAATAAAATAGTGTATTAATTTTTTTCTTTAAGAAAATCTGAAAATCAATTAAAATTCAACTTGTTTAATTTTAAAAAATCATTTTATGTTAAATTTTAATTTCTTCTAAACTTAATCCTTTTAATTTAGGTTTTTGTTTCAGATTTCAATAATTAGAAAAAGCATCTTTATAATTAAGTCTATTTATAAAATTAAATGAAAAATTAATTACATTTATATTTGAATAAAATAATATTTTTAATAAAATGATAATTTCATATTCAAGTTAATAAAAATTGCAAAATTATTTGGATGAAATTGTCAAAATGTTTATCGCAATCTTATAATATTTTGTTGTAATTTCTATCTGATTGTAATTATTAAATAATTTTACAGTTTCAAAATTCGATCCTACCTAAAATTAATTATAAAACTCCATTAATTCTTGATATATTTAATTATTGAACACTTTTGAGTAAAGTATTAATCAAACCATTATTTGGTTAGTTAATTTAAATTAGGTATTTTGTTGTAATTATCAAAATAGTAAAAAAATTTAATTTTTTTTGTTAATAGTTTTACTCTTTCTTCCCATCCTTATACTTTGAACTTTATTCTTTGGAATTTAAATGTTCATAATATCTCCATTAACTGTGATTTATAGAAGTTAATATTGAATTAAATTTTAAATATAATTGCTATGAATTATATTCTTTAGATTATAATATTTATTTCTATTTTGGATATTAAAATACTTGGAAATATACTTAAAATAGATTCCAACATATAAAATGTACCTATTGATATTTATTGAGAATTAGCAAAACCAATTAAAATGTTTTGATTTAATTAGATTGAATTAGAGATAACATTGTATATTTTATCTGATTTGTTTTGATCATCATAACATAGATCATCATTATAATCTGGAGTATAAATAATTTTAAGCCCGGATTTTCCATTTTAAGGAATAATGTAATAAACTTTCATTTATTCATATTCATCATTTTGTTTCTCTTTGGTTATATCAATATCATCAACAATTTCAAATCTATAAGTATCTAAAAATTCAACACCGTAATAGTAATTGATAAATAAGTTTATTAGATTTTACTTTTCTGAACTTTATGTACCAATTAAGATAATAGTTTTGTAGTCTTCTAGACATTCAATTGAAGATTTGTAATATCTTGGGTATTAATATATATTAAAATTCTTCTCTTTCCTTATTATATCTAAATTATTCAATATTTTTATTCTATTATTTTGTTTAATCTCTTAATTTTCTAAATCTAATTTCTATTCCTATTGTATTTATTATTCTTAGATAATAGATGATTATAATTTAGTAGTAGAGTTATTTAAAGTTGACTATGTCTTAGCATAAGTTTTTTTAAAGATGCATCAACAATAGAAAATATTTGAGAATAGGTTCCATTAATGTCTCTAAATTAGATATTAATTAATTGAAAGATGATGATAATTATTGTATGTTTAATAAATTACTAACTTATTTTTCATGAAAGCTGATTGTTAAAATTCATTAACAAAAAGTAAAGAGGTTTATGCTTTCTATGGACCTAATTGTGATATGATAATCTAAGTGGATTTAAAGACAAGATTAATTATATTTATTCAACATTTAAATCTTTAATTTATGCTTAATAAGATTCTTCATTAAATGCAGACATTTGAGATACTATATATATAATCTGTATTCAATAAAATAAATATTTAAGAGAGTCGACAAATAAAAAAAATATTTTATGGCTTAAATAATATTCCTTTCTTTTATGATAATCACAATGCATAAATAAAGTACGTACTGATTGTACTAATGCGATTGGATATAGTTTATGTGATTAAATTGGTTGTGCTTATGATTGTTAAACAAATGTTTATATTGATATTGAAAAATGTTCTAATTATAAAAAAATTAGTTTGTAATATTAATAAATAAGAAGATAAAAAGGAGAATGCATATGATTGACTGGAAAGATTTCAAGTTTAATGGGTGAATTGAATTAAAATATTGTTCAAATGTTTCTAATAATTAAGCTCAATGATTGATTGTTACTATGTTGTATCATTAACTAATGATGCAACAACAATTGATTCTGAATGCCAAAATATGGATTGTTATGGCTCAAATTAAAATGTTAAAACTAATGGTCTTTGTAATCCATTTAAAATTACTAGTTCTGATGGTAAAAGTAAAACAATAACTTTTTTGTACTTTGAACGATACTTAAAAAAATGCATTAAATGTGATTATTCTAATTAGTTTGAAAAGGATAATCAATTTATTTTTAATTAATTATAATATTTACTATCAATTTTATCTAAACATAATTCTATTAATATATACTCAATTTATATTATAGTAGTTTATCCTGAATTCATTCTTTCAAATACAATAAGAACTTATTCCTTTATTTATTATAGCAGAGATTGAACTAATTTAATAGAAGGTTTTCCATTTTATGTACACTATATAATTTTTCTTATTAAATAATATTTTTGATAATACTAAAGTTTTAATTATTATTCTTTGTGTTTTATTTATTAAAATGTAAAAATTAAATATAATGTAAAATGAAGTTCTAAGCCACTATTACAATATATGTGATTGGAAAATGTAAAAGACTACAGTTTAAAATTAATCAAATAATAATTAGAGTTTATTTTACATAAAAAAATAATAGAATCTTGCATGAGTAACGCTTTATTAAATTATATTAATTTAGATAATAAATGACTAATTAAATATAACAAAACGATGCTATTACAATCAATTTTTTTATAAAAATTAAGAATTAAAATTTAAGATATTTTACATTATACTCAATAAATTGATGATATAATATGTTTATGTGATAGTTTAAATTATAAATAAATAATATATTTTTATTAACATTTTAATTATTAGATTTCATCAAAATTAAATTCTATAATTTATTCCAAATTCTACTATTCAACAAAAATTAAATAAAAATATAAATAAAATATATTATATTTATTATGATTTAACAAAATGAAAAGTAATAGAAAATCAAACTGTTATGTAAGAAGCATAATTAAAAAAATCATTATTTGTTTTTGCAAGCCAGATTTTAAAGAGGAGAGGTTATGCTGTGTTGAATGTATTTAAGAGGATAATTACATTAATCATCTCAAAAATATCTTTGAAATTGATTAGTTTCAATTATTTTGCTGATTAATAGAAAAAGACATTTTAATTGAAAAAAATGGTTTAAGATTCAAAAGATAAATTCTATTAATTCATTAATTAAATGATTGATGGAATTGAGGATAAATTTCATAGATTTGATCCAGAAATATTAGAAGTGAAGATTCAATTTGTAATGCCATTCCATTTTTTTTTCAATTTTAAAATTTTAAAATATTTAAGAACATTTATCTAATAAATTACAAAAGATCCAAGAATAATTCTAATAGTTCAATTACACGAATCAACTATTCTCTTTTAATTTATTTAATAAAAAAAAAATTTTAAATAAAAGAATAAACATATGGGTTGATTAAAATTATTGTAAATTAGGAGATAGTTTAAATCTTTTTTAATTTTTTTCCATAATTATTTATACATAATAATTTAAATGGAAAGATTTTTATTAAAAAAGTTTAGAAATAAAATAAACAAATCTTCATGCTAAAATAGGAATAGGTAATGAAATCAAAATGTATCTTAAACACAATGTTTATTATTAAATACATAATTTGTAAAGTTACAATAATCACACAATTATATATGATAAAATTGATCTAGCAAAAGTTAAATAAATAGGGATTAATCTGATAATTTAGTAGATTTTCGGATAACTTTTTGTAATTCGATCTAAATATGATTAGTTAATATGTTAAAATTTAACAAACATATTTTTAAAATATTAAGTAAGAAGATAAGAGGATACTTTAAAATTTGATAAATTCAACCTAACAACTCTAACACATTAATAATCGAAGGTTTTATTAGTAAATTTTAGTCAATATATTATAATAAAATAAAATTAATTTGAAATAGTAATCATTTTGTTTGATTAAATTTGAAAATTAATGGAGAACCTTTAAAAAACATTATATTCCTAATTATAAGATTTAAATTATGATGAGTAAATGAATATCTATGAACTATTGTTAAAATTTAATCCAAAAAGAATCTCAACGCTAAAATTGAAATGTAAGACACATTAATTTTAAATTAGGTAAATGTTTAATAAGTTATAATAAATTCAAGTTAGCATTGTTAAATCTTGAACAACTTCTTAATTTAGACTTAAATGAAGAGATTTAGAACTTAAGGAAATGATAAAGAATTCATTTTTCACAATTTGAGGATGATCAAATATATTATTTTTATACAAAATGCTTAAAAGTTATTACTCATCAAATGTTATGGTTTTAGAGTTAATGAGTAATGAAATTTAATATTTAAGGTCTTCATCTACTTAAAATTTAATCTAAAATTTATATATAATAGAATAAGATAAAAGTCAAGTTTTTCATCATAAAAATACCTTGATTAACCTAAATTTAATTAGCTTATAATTACAGTATATGAGGTTCAACTTGAGAAGGAGAAATTTATGATTTAAGTATTCGTTTAATAATATTAATGGGATATGATATCCTGAGTGCTATTATTAAAGAATTAGATATTATGAATAGAATCTAATTTTGTAAGCGTTGGTAATTGATGTAGATTTATTAAATCATTTATTCTCAAATTAATTATTAAAGTAATTATAATATTAGAATACAATTTTATAATTATCTCTTATACTAAAGGAAATGTCAAAATTAATTAAATATAATGCTAAAGTCAGTTTTGATTATGCAGCAATTTAAATGTGCATTCCTCTTGAAAAAAATAATTAAAAATTAAAATTTATAATTTGAGAATCTTGTATTAATTTTATTTATGCTCTTGTTCTTGCTTTACATATGCTCAAATTAATTGCAATTACTACTCTACTTAAGCATTTTATAAAATCTCCTCACAATTTGCCAAAGATTGATATATACTAGTTTTATTTGTTTCAAGAGATGGCCATGTAGTAACAATATTGCTAATCCGTCATAGTGATAATAAATATGATTTCTTATAAGCTATTAGTGAAAGCAATTTGGATACAATATTAACTATGCAATTTTTTAACCTTTAATTTCAATTTTTATAGTGTCTTCAGTTTGTTAGGCTTTAAGTAATATATAATTTAATTTAAAAAATGAAATTATTATATGAAAAAGTATAGCTAAAGATGATACAGAATATTAAAGGCTATCTAAATTAATAGAATTTAACAAAAATAAATGTAATAAGAAAATAATATTTCAGTTCATTGTTGAACTTTATGAAGAAATAATTGAAATCTAATCATAGATGTATGTTAATCATCAAATTATTTAGAAATATAAGATCATCAGACATAATTTAAAAAAATTCGAGAATTTTAGAGATTTCTTTTTAGTAGAAAATATAGATTCTTTAATTATAAATAAAATAAATATCAATGTTAATCAATATTTATTGAATAAAGAAGCTTTTTGTCTCTCCGAAGTAAGGGAGATGACCAAAGATTTTTTTCAGAACATCTTGATCGTTTTCCTCACAATTTGTCATATTTATCTATTATTGGTTTTGTTTGCATCCACAAAACTGGCGGTATTTAGTCAAAATGTGGTTTTATAAACACTGTCCACAATTTGATTATGTGCCTGAGCGGGAGCACATCCTTCAATGTCCTCAATCTCCATGCCAACTTGGTTATGTATCCTTATGTTTTCATTATGTGCTTTATGACTGAACCTCTAGTATTCAGCCAAACCCCTAGGCTATATTCCTTCATTATCTCTCTAAGTAGTTATATCAGGAAGTGTGACACTTGCCCCGTTTGTTAGTATCACTATGTCATCTGCATACGTTAGATAAGTTGAATAAGGGTGTGTAGAATTTGCTAAAAATGTTCTAAAAATTGGAAATTTCCACTTTGCTTAAAAAAGAACCAATAAAAATTTATCCACTTGATAAGGAAGATAAATTATTTGTGTATTTATGCTTTTTAATCCTCAAATTTTTTTTAATCTTAATGATTGGATAATCTTGCCATAAAATTATTTTTTTTTTAATTATTATAACAAAGTAAAATGCAAGGGTATTAGAACATTTTTTATCAAGCTATTGTTCTTCATACCCTTGTTGACGTATGATTTGGCAGACTAAATTGTTAAGTAGAATTATATAACATAGAATGCTATAAGATTTAAATTAATTAAAATTCACAGAATAATAGATCCTGAAAATTAATATGTATATCAATTATTTTACAATTTTAATATTTTCCATAAAATCTGACTGAATTAATTATAAAAATTTTTCAATGATGTTATCCTGGTAGAAAGATTTAATAAAATCAATTTATTTATATCCTTTGGATTTACCTAAAATAATATATTTATGCTTATATCTAATATTATCAAAATTTTACCTTAATTTAATCCATCTTCTTCTTAAACAGAGTTCCATTTACCACTTTGTACTCTCCAAATTAATATTTTTATGATTAGTTAAATATAAAAT